CCCCCCCGTCACGGTAGCCACCGTCGGGTGCTCCGTCGGAGCATCAGCGGTTTCGGCAGAGGCAGCAGGCGGAGACATCGTCAACGGATTTAGGGTTCCTGATGTTCAACAGAGAAATGGATAGGATCGAATTTGTGGCGATTCGAAGCGGTCTTTAGGTTTTTTGTCTCCATATTGGGCCTAATAATGTAAATTGGGTTACTCTTATGGGTTTATCGGGCCTTTATTGGGCTTTGTTATCTGAATTTCCGACCGTACACGTAGGTTCAGTTTCAGTCCACGGGTTTACTAAAATTATTATATCGCTTCCCCATGAGTTTTGGGGATCCGGATATCAAAATTCGAAAAATTTACAAAATGGCGTTAATTTATGTTAATTTTAGAGGTATGTGGATAATTTTATATAAAAATAGGTCAAAATTATTTTTGTAAATACATAAAATATGGGCATTTTAATATTTTTAAAAAATATATGTTATTTGCGAAATAATACATTAAAAATAATAAAACCCGAACATGAAATCGCTTTCAGGTATCCATATTGAAACAGATATCCGAAAACGCGTGGATCTCGGGTCAAAATCTACCCGACATATGCTATAGCTTGGTTTATTTTTTCCTTGGTTGCGTAACGACGTTATCAATGGTGATACGTATTACAATTAGAAGATTGATATTGCAATATGCTTTGAATATTCCAGCAAAATGTATCCCACTCCGTTCGGACATAAGATGAAGATATAAGACCGGTCCAAAGCAATCGACAGTTCTTGTCCGATATCTCCACTACAAAAGGCTTCACATTAGTAACAAATTGTGAAGAGTTTATATAAGAATTAAGAATGATGGAAATTTTTATTTCTAATAACTATGTCTGGTCGCGGGATAATATCTATATATGAAATGCTGTTTTTATGTATTCTATTTGGATTTAAAGAGTTGGAGGCAATGCTCTTGGTCGAGGTTCCGGCTCCAGAAAGTTTTGTAGTACTCGGGGTAGGTGAAGTCTCGGTAGATGGCTCCGGCCGAGCCTCCGGTCAAGGGTTCGGCCGGGCGTATGATGGCAGTGTCGGCCGGACACAAGAACGAGGCTACCGAAAGTCTTGCTATCTCCGAGTTCGTAACAGCTCGATGCCATACACTTTTGTATATTCCGTTGCTCAATGCCTATGATTAGAGGAAAAAAATTTGTCTACTGAATTAGTGTATATATATATATATATATTGCAAAGTATGATACAAATCAACCTTTATGACCAAACCAAAATGTATCAATCAACTCAACTGATAGAGGGAATGGTAATAAGCCAACAACTTGCATTAATAGAATAGGGTTTGTTCGGTTCGTTCTTCATTAATCAATAAACTTTTTGAATCTCAATTTTATTTAGAGTTTACATGAATTTTTGTTCTCTATTCATTTCGATTTTACGTTAAATTCTTCAAAATTTGTTGCCAAATAAATCTAAATCTATCCATATCTCATTATTTTTTCTATTTTTTAAACCGAACTGTTTAACATCTACATTTTATATATCCAAACTACATTATACACGCATCTCTCGTAATTTTTCTTTTACAGATACCACCACTATTTTTTTTTAATCTAACACTATCGTTTCAAATTCTATCCATTCTTTTATATTCACATATTGTCATCGGATCCATATTATATTTTGCACACATGTTGTTTGAAAAACCCAACTTGGGGGCTATAGTTATCATGTATTGAAAATAGGGTTTAAACCTGGAGCTGGTCGCCGATATTGATGACAAAAGCATCGGGGTGAGGGTTGACAGAGAACCACTTGCCGTCGATCAAGATCTGGAGTCCGGAGACAGTCGTGTCTTGGAGGAGGATGGTGAGGGCGTTAGGGTCGGTGTGGGCAGGAAGACCGTACGTCAACTCAGGGTCAGGGCATGGAGGGTAATAGTTCAAGGCCATGTGCTGTCCTTGCTCTCCTAGCACTTTCTTCACGTATTCTTTCTCTAACCCCAAGCTCTCTGATATCAATTCCTCTATTCTAAGACCAAGTTCTCTTACTTCTGTACAATATTTACTTACAACCTCCCTGGTTAATATACAAAAAAACAAACACATTATTAGCATGAATCATGATATATATTTTCCCTGTACATTTTATTTAAAACGACAAGTTAAAACTTAGGGGAGTTAAGCAGTAGACTCGACTCGGCCGACCCGAACCCGCACTCGGTCCGAGGGTTTTGGGTTTGGGTTCGGATCGGCCAGAATATTTCGGGTCTATAAATCTAAGATCAAAGCTCGACTCTATAAAATTCGGGTTCTGAGTTGAACCGACCCATTCAATATCTCATTTATGCATTGATATTTTTTTCATTTATTTTTTTTGAAAAAAAATAAATTGGACTTTCAGACTAATCCGAAATTCGATTTGATTTTGATCCAAAAACACGAATTTTTTTGGATCTATAATTTTTTCGGATTCCGAACCGACCTATTTAATACCTCATTGATATTTTTTTTCATTTATTAATTTTTTTGGAAAAAAAAAAATGGGCTTTCGGACTAATCCGAAATCCGATTTGAATTCGACCCAAAAGCACGAATTTTTTTGGATCTATAATTAAAAGTTCGAAACTCGATATTTTTGGGACGGACTCAAAATGGAGTTCGGATCAAAATTGGTATAACTGTAGATGTTTTTTCCCCGATATATAAAGGCGATATTAATCCCGAAATACGATAACACACTACATGGATATCCCAGATATTAACTAATTTTTATAACTTAATTAGATCTCAACAACGAACCGTGTTATTTGATATGGACAAAGAGAAGATTTGGAACCAAGGAAGAGTAGATTCTGACTCAGCTTCCATCAAACCCGGACAAACGGAGACCAACACGTGTTAAAATAATTGAAGACTTTTCCATCAGTTTGTGTTGTAATAAATAGGTCCATTTATTTAAATTTAATTAGACCATATAATACGATTTAAATTCAACAAAAAGTCAAAAATAAATCAGATTATCATAATGGCCAGGCCTACGTCCACGCGGTTTCACCGGTGACGTTTCCTCCCTTCCCCCCTCAATCAAAGCGTATCCACATACATGCATGGAGGCTTTTATATAATTTATCGTGTATTATTATTATTATTATTATTATTATTATTATTATTATTATTATTATTATTATTATTATTATTATTATTATTATTATTATTATTATCTTTCTGATTTTGGACATTTTGGATTTCATTATATGATTAGTATATTGGATATTGTGACGCAGTGATATAAACATACAAAAAGAAAAATGGAATCTCTGTGTCGAATAACATCAATAATTTCAATCATAATAATTAGAAAAATATTTTGGCAAAATAATGTTTAATCCAAGAAAAATGTTACCGATATTTAGTATGAAAAGTATATTTGGCTAATCCTCCAATCAAGAAAATAATTAGGACAGTGCATGTTAATTATCACCCAATTAAGAGGATTTGACTGAGAAAGGGATAAAAACGTCTTGATGCAAATAATCATATGCTTTGTCATAGAAACTGTGATGTTTTAGTCACTGGTCTATACATCTATATATATATATATATATATGAATCATTAGAGTAAATGTTGTATATATTCATACTGAATTATATCATATTCATTTTTTAATTAAAATTTTGTGAAACATATGAGATATATAAATTTAATATTTATTAATAAATAAGATATTCAAAATAAATATTAGTATCAAATAATTATTGGTAGTGATTTTTTTTTATGTAAGTTTAAACCCACTAAACCATAACGATTATTAACTGGGTTTGCAGATATTCAAAATAGAAATAACCCCAGAGAGTCAATCATGATCCATTTTAAGTTGACGCACTTTTAAATTTGATTTTCTCTTATATATGTCCCCATATGTGTATATATGTATGTATATATATATGTGTGTGTGAAATTATAGGCCACATTTCAGTAAACGAAACGATAGGAAATGGAACGTCACATCAAAAAATGTCGGAGGAGTGAGTGAAATTATGTCATTGTCATGAAATTTCGATCGTGTGGTTTTGCAATGTGAGTCGGCTTGTCTTTATTTTACTCCCTCCGACCATCCATATCTCTTACAATATCTTTATTTTCTTTTGATTTTCGTCAATTTCCCTATTTTCCCATGTTTTTATTTTTTTTTAATTATTTTTCAACTGTTTGTGAATTTGCATTAAGATTGAATACACAAAACATATTCTTATAGAATAAACAATTGGTTTACCAAGTCCAATATATAACCATGCATGTGCGTATTTTTTTGGGGCATGCATATCTCAGTCAAGTTTTTACAAAATAATAATAATAATAATAATAATAATAATGGCGATGCATGTGATCACATGGACATATTTAAAAAGGAATAAGCAAAAGGACCACCGAATTTAGAATTAAAAGATAACCAAGAATAGGAACAGTGGACTTGACTCAAAGTCAGTCCACAGAACTCCTCGTCTATTTCTCCATTAATTATCCATGTGTTTTTTTTTCTTTGTGTATTGTATGTGTGTGTATATATATATATATATATATATATATATATATATATATATATATTATTTCCAGTTTTTTGGAGGGACCAATGAAGAAGTGAACAAAATAGTTGTGACTTTATGAGCGATGTTTCTAGAAAAAATGATTCACATGTCTCCTCTTCCCCCCAAAAAAAAAAAAACTCACTGTAATTCTCAAGGTAGCTTCTAGAAGTAAACCCTGAATAATTTCTAAATAATTTTTGTTTTAAATTTTTTAAGAAAATATAAAAAGTTATATATATATCCTTATTTATCATTTTTACTAAACATTTTTTTTTATAATTTCAATAAATAAAAAATTATATTATCTAAAATATCATCTCTAGCGAATATTAGTGATTTTTCTATGACAAGATGAAAAAATCTAATGAAAAGATGAAAAAAATAGGTAAAATACTCCACGTCCTCATTCAAGTCTTTAAAAACCTCATTAAGTTTTGATCACAAAAAAAATCATGTTACCATTAATACTTGATCGAAATAGAGTATTTTTTTTTAATTAAGAGTGAAATTGGAATTTTTTTTTATAAAGTTTATCTAAAAATTTTAAACGATAATTATTAGAGAGTATCCTTCTATTTTTATTTCACAATGCATTCAATTATAAAAGTTGAGACCCTTTCCGTGCATTGTTTTTGACACGTGGTGATATCATATGCATCGATTAGAGAGTAGTAATTAGAAAGAGAGAGAGAGAGAGAGAGAGAGAGAGAGAGAGAGAGAGAGGGCTGACTTGAAGGAGGGAGGGAGGGAAGGCCATTCGGGGGAATACTTGTGGAGAGGGAAGCAGTGGAGCCTGAGGTAGTCTCTCCAGTTGTGGATCTCTTCCTTCTTCACGTTGAAGCTCGTCGCCAGCCTCGTCGTCTTCGCCGGGTCGTCCGAGTAAAGCTTCATCTTCTCCTCCGCCGGCAGCCGGAAAAACTCCCTCCCCACTCCCACCATCTTCTCCCTCTCTTCTTTCCCAATCCCATGGTTTATCACCTATACGTACATATGTATGCTCTTAGTATATCAGATAAGATTCACGGCGTTTAAGGGAGAGAAGAAAGAACCTGGAAAAATCCGAATCTCGAGCAAGCATGGTGGATCTGTCGAACGATTTCAGATCGATCGGGGCAAGAGAGATCGATGAGTGGGAGATCTTGGAGCTCGCCCACCTCCGACAGTCGCGGCCTGTCGGAAGCTGGCCGGATGTATTTTTCCGGCAAGGTTGATTGCCTGTCTCCGGTCGATAGCAGCCTTGCCGCCATTTCTTAATCACCACAGTTTTTTTTTTCTTCTAAATCTCGAGATGATGATGGAGAAACTATGTATGTGTGTCGATGCATTTATATATATATACGCACACAAACTATGTATTATATTTATATTTTTAAAATAAAGGGATTATATAGCTTTTTTTTTTCACTTCACATAATATTTGAAATTTCAACCAAACTAACGAATATATTGGTTAAACAATTAATACTTATATTATTTTCAAAATAAAATATACAAACTCAATGATAATTCAGATAATGGAAAATTTAACGCCTTTAAATCGATTTTAGATGTTTGAGCTTAGTTTGGATTTTGAATAGAATTCACAAAGTCCGTACACCATAAATGTATAAAACTAACTGCTAACTAAGTTAAGTACGCATTTTGTATCCCCACGTATTTACATAAATACATAAATACGGAATAATAATAACCATTGGATTCTATTTAGTTGGTCCATTGGATTGTTGACAGCTGTCATGCCTCTGCCACCGCCAACGAGGGCTTGTGGTCGTGCTGTGCACTTGCACTTGCAGCGACCCCATAACCGGGAATTTTGTTTTTCATTTTTTTAAATAAAAAAAGGCGATTTCCTTTTATACTCCCAACAACTATAATATAATATTATGCTAATTAAAACATCGATTTTAATCTCCAAAGAATCCAATATATATGTATGATTCGAATCTGCATATATAATAAATGCCATAAATAGTAAAATTATCGATCTATATATTTAAGATAAAATATAATTTTTTTTCGATCGATATATTTTAAAAAAATAAAATATAATTATTTATTCTATAACTTTTACCAACTGATTCTTACGATGCAATGAAATAAATGAAAACGTTATATGGAATTCAAACTTTAGTTAAATATTTTGTACTAGTTTAGACTAATTTAAAGAGGAAATTTGCTAATTTAAAATCGTATCAGACTTTCTTTCTTTATATATATATATATATGTGTGTGTGTGTGTGTGCGCGCGCGCGCTGTCTTGATATTACGAGTTGAATGATTGATGTTTGCCTCTTACGTCACTATTATGACGTCATAATATGAGGTCTGGAATGATGTCATCATTGATTTACCCAAAAAAACAATACCAAATAATCACATACTTAAATAACATTTAATTGACGAATCAAATAAATTTATCGCATTGCTTATGGTTTAGTTTAGTGACTAACATACAACTTTATCAATTCTGAAATTAGTTTCAAATATCATAAATATAATCGTATGATTAAACGATACATAATTTTAAAATATAAGATCAGAATTTACGATGGTAAATAGTTAAGAGAATCTACAAATTTTATTTACTTTAAGCACAAAGGTTTGCATTATTAAAATTAAGATAAAATAATTGAATACTTATAATATTTTTCAATCAATTGAAATCTAAAAGAATAGTTTTTATATCAAATCAAAGGATATTCAATTGATATTTTATAATGTTGCGTTAACCATTGGATCATTACGGTTTGTGGCGCAATTCACGTTATTAGTTTTTTTATATATTTTAAAACATATATTACTTTAACGTTATAATAAAAAACTTTCAGTGGTTGAAAAGTACGAAACAACGTGAAACTTTAATCTGCAATATTTTTTTAAAATTGAAAAATAAAATTATTGTGAAGGTATTTTTTTTAAAAATAATTTAACTATTTATCATATAATTTTGTTAATTTAATTATATTATCAGTTCGATTAAAAAACTCAATTAAAATAATTTTTCAAATAATAAAGTAGAAAGTTACCAAATATTTAAATTTATATAAACTATATATATATATTCCATAATTGGGTTTATCTTTTATAAATTATATTTTCTATAAAACTAAAAGTTTTAATATTATTCGAATTGTTATAATAATAATAATAATAATAATAATAATAATAATAATAATAATAATAATTGATTATTTTTATGATTTACTATACTATAAAAAATTAAATTTTTTTAATAGTTAATGTTTTATCAATTTTGATGATATAAGAAATTTAACAATGATTTTTTGAAAATGGTCTTTATCTAATTTGTTTTAACAATTTAATTCAAATCTATTTTAAAATCTTATTGCATATATTTGATTTATGATTTTTTCAAACAAATAAATTAAATACCATTTTAGATATCATTTCTACAAGAATGTTTCATTTTATTAACTTATTACCATATTTATTTTAGGAGTTGCACCATAATCTATCAAAATTTTAAGATTATAACACTATACATATACTTCTTCAATCCAATGATTTTTTATTCTATAATTATATAAAAATTTCAGTGAAAAATGAGTCTTCATATAAAAAATTTAAAATATATCTACGTTATCTTAAGATAAAAATTAAAATATTCAAATCCATAGGATATATATATATATATATATATATATATATATCATTTTATTATATGAAAATTTTTCTTGTTGGTAATTCATTTCTAATTTTAAAAAAGTTATTTTACAAAAATCTTAAAAATGTTTTTATAATTATTTTCTTCATTAAAGTTATGCTTGAAATTTATCAAAAGATTTCTAATATTTTATCTTAAATTTTTCCTTCCAATATTTTAGGGATCACTATTTAAAGATATAAAAAATTATATATATATATATATAGATATATATGAAATAAATATGCAATTTGCGTATATACAAAGTCGTCTCAAGGGGTGTGCAAGTGGAGAGATTGTACAAGGCCCCACTTTAAAGAGGGCCCCACATTTATTTTTCTTTAAATTGTATATTTGTTATTTTATTTTTTTTATATAATTTCTTTATTATTAAAGATTTTTTAAAATATAATTAGAGAATAATAATACTGATTAATATTATTAACATTTTAATATTTTAATATTTTATATTTTAAAAGTAAAATTAAAATTTTCATCACAATATTTTTAATTTTATTTTTTTAAATCATTTTCTCTTTTTATATAATTTGACATCTAAATATAAATTTTATTTAGGTGTTGAATCTTTATTTTTAAATTTATGTTTTTTCTTTCATTATTGTTATATAATTTTTTTATTTGATATTATTAACAAAAACTTTTTATTTGAATTTTAAATTTACTTTTTTTATTCAATATATGGGGATAGAATAAAAATTTGATAAACTAAATTAAATTAATAAATTATAGATTTGTTAAGTATTTTTTATTTTAATTCTTTTTTAGTTATTTTTAGTTAAATTTCAAAAATTAAAAATTTGATAATTTAATATCATAAATTATATTGTACGGAGCCCCAAAATTGTTTGACCCGTGAAAATCGTGTTTGATTAGTCAATTTAAAGGTTTTTCCCGTACAATAAGTAAATGTTAATGTTAAGTCACATTTCTTTATTTTTTTGCAGTTTCCTCGTTAATATGGCGTATTGAATATATAATCCATGTCAACCGAATTTTAGATGCTTTTTTTTTTTAAATAGTTTTTATACTTTTGAAAAAGTTGATACAAAAATTATGTAAATACGAAATGTCTTTGTAATTATTTCGAAATTGTTTGTTAAAACTATATGGTTTTATTATATGATACTATAAGTTTTAGATAAGTGTATACTTAATCGTTGGAAACTTTTTTGCCACCTGCTTTTAACTGTTTGCATTTGTTTTTTTTTTTGTAAGGGTTAAAGGCTAATGGAAAACAATTTTATTTAAACTAGTTTAATTTTGATCTACTGGTCTATTTACTCCCATGTATAGTCGTATAATATAAAATTGACATTTAGGTATTATTGATTTTGTCGGTGTGTTAGGTCCACATGTTATTTTTATGATTGATATTCTATGCAAATAAATAAGTTTCGGTGTCGATTGTTATATTTCGATTGTTTTTTAGTAGTTGTACACTGAATCTCGTGGGGACAACCAAAGCGTGAGCAAAAAAATTAAAAAAAATATTTCAATGATCGAAATTCGATTTAATCGGATAAAAAGTGGACCTAAGCAAACAATTCAAGCGACGGTCCAAAAAACATCATTTTACGGATCCGTTACGAAATATTCATCAAAATACATTATTATTTTTTCAGAACATAATCATAACCACATCAAATTTACATTTTTATTTATGTATTTTAAATTCGAAAAAAAATGTTTTATTATAAAACTGCAAGAGATTTCAGTAGGGATACATCCGCAAACATGTGCTATATGTTTCATCCAAAAAAAAACATGTGCTATATGTATAAATCTTTATGAACGAGACCTTGTCTGTGCCTCTATTCAGGGTCGTCTAATAGGGTGTGCAAATGGTGCTATGGCACAGGACCTCCAATTTTCTAGGGTCTCATTTTTCTCGAAAAAGTTATTTTTAAAATTTGATAATTATAATAGTTTTGAATAACAAAATAAAAATCATTGTAAAAGAAAAGAATATTATAAACAGTTTAAATCTGATTAAATTATGATATATTTGTTTTCTTTTATAGTAATCTTATATTTGTTGGAAAAATTGAAACAAAATAAAAATAGAATTTGATAACAAATATAAATAATTTTTAATCAATATGTATTTTAGAAAAACCTTAAACAAATTAGTATATAAGAGTATTTCAATAAAAAAATATAAACTAAGTTAATTTTAATTTATAAAAATTAATATATATATATATATATTATTTACATATAGTGAACAAGGCTTCTCGTAACTTTGAGACGGCTCTGCCTCTATTCATGGGCCATCATTCATGAATTTTTACTTAGTTCCAATATCTAAGAAATCCTTAAATTGTTATGAAATTTTAGGATACGGTTGATTAGTCAGTATTATTATTTTCATTTTAATTTGTTTTTATTATATATATATATATATATATATTAATTGCAATCAAAGGTATCGGAGTCAACTGGCAGAGAGAATAAAAAAAAAGGAGGAAGATAAATTGAAGTGAGAGTGGGTTTTGGGTTGGAAAAATTTGTGAATGTCATTGTGATTGTCTCTCCATCATCATACTTCCCATTGTTCCCAACCCAAATTTTGGGTCAATCCTTTTTGTGTTTATGCATAAATAGTGTTCAAATAAAAATCATTATGTTTGTACATTTGTTTTTTTTTTTATAAAAAATCAATAATCATGTATTTATAAAAAAATATTTGCTGGATTTAAATAATATTCATGGGATCTTATTACGCGAATTCTTATTCACATACCATAAAATTGCAGTTTTTATAAAAAAATTCTATCTTATGAAGAATTTTTTTTGTAACAATAATATTCATTATTTCACATTCAAAATTTGAAATATTTCCGAATTTTATGAATTCTATTTTTTTTTCAAATAAATAATAGTATGGGGTGTTGTATTATTAAATGGTTAGATAGATACTTGCGTATACGTACATGATATTGATTGACGATGAAGTTTTAGGGAAACTTATCATTAGAAACATAAATCTATAAAATATATATTATTTGCTATTTTTTTAATATAAGGCTATGTGATTAGACACAAAAGTTACTTATTAGTTGCATGTTAGAATTTATGCCCCCCTACATACATTTGAGAAATTTCTAGATCTATACATGCATACATCCATATGTAAAAGTTTAAAAACGTTTTTATGTCATCTTTTTTTAATATAATGTAAAATATGTGTACATTTGGTATGTATACGTTGGTTCGATTACTTCTAAGATCGGAGTTTCCTGAGTCGGTCAGTTTCGTCTTGTTTACATCGTACGGTTTGTCGATTACTGTGCAGAGATCGGTGGATTTATTGTCCGAAATATTGTTCGACCTATGGGGTCGAACCGGTGTCCGGTCCGAAGGGCCGTACAACGGATTACACGGTTAAAAAAAATGTTAGAGATTCAGTCGATATAAATAATTCACTTTCTGGGCCCGAAGCCCAATAAAGGCCCACGTTCAGAAGTTTAGTCACGAAGTGGCCTTTTTTTCCATCCTCTATTTCCTGAAAACCCTAGTTTCCTCTCATATAAATTTCCTCTCTCCTTCTAACCCTAGATCTCCGTTCCCCCAACAGCAGCATCTCTCTCCTCAAGGTTTGTAATCTCTCTCGCTCTCTTGGTTTCGCCTGCCACAATGCGTATTGTTTGATGAATTTGTTCGCGTGGCTTTGCAGATCCGTTGGAAGGTGATAATACCTGCAGACAAGCTAAGCTGCAATGGCCACCGGTGAGCTCGCTTGTACTTACGCCGCTCTCATTCTCCACGACGAGGGAATCCACGTCACCGTAAGTTTCCTCTCATTTCTCGTTGATGATTGTCACGTTAATTTTGAAGATTTCTTTAATTTTATTTGAATCTTAATTTAGACTAGTTTCTAGGTTTGGTTCAGTGTTAGTTTCCAATTGAAGATACCGTAATGATTGATGTAAATTCAAATGTAGTCACGCGTAACATTTTTACTCGTTATTGAGAATCGTGAATCATGTTTTTGTTATTTTGGAATCTGTAATATTTTGTATTGTTTACTGGAATTTCTTGTCCTTATTTTGATTATAATTTTGTGGCTTTGGTTCCTGCGTTTGTTAGTGTGGCAATTGGGTTGTAATCTAGCATTTGTATCATAAGGTGAACCGTGTCTGACCTCTGCTTTCCTCGGGTCCGTCCCTTTAGTCAATGACATTGTTGAGATTATGCTTATGTTCAGTATCTGTGCTTTGTTTTATTGTAACTCTTGCTAAAACCAGTTTTATTGATTAGAAGTTAAGTCAGTTTGATATCCGGCATTGATTCTGATGATGATCAGGCTGAGAAGATATCTGCCTTAGTAAAAGCAGCCAACTTGAGTGTTGAGTCCTACTGGCCAAGCCTTTTCGCCAAGCTCTGTGAGAAGAAGAACATCGATGATCTCATCATGAACGTTGGTTCTGGTGGTGTGGCTGGGCCCATGATATATTTGTTTTCTTTTATAGTAATCTTATATTTGTTGGAAAAATTGAAACAAAATAAAAATAGAATTTGATAACAAATATAAATAATTTTTAATCAATATGTATTTTAGAAAAACCTTAAACAAATTAGTATATAAGAGTATTTCAATAAAAAAATATAAACTAAGTTAATTTTAATTTATAAAAATTAATATATATATATATATTTTCCTCAGTTACATACGCTTAGCCCATGTGATATTTTGTTGCGTTCACCATAACCCAAGATGATAAATTTTGCTGTGATTGTGAACAAATTGTATCTATAAACAGGAGGAGCCCAAGGAGGAGAGTGATGATGACATGGGATTCAGCTTGTTCGACTAAGAGGTTCTGTTCCATTTTGTCATTTGTGTTTTGTTTTTTTTCCCCTTGCTAAAGAGCAATCTTCGATTTGTTGTCTCTTTTCCTTATCTTTCCAGTTACAAGTTTCCAGAGTAGTTTTGTTTTTCTTGTTGAAGACCGCTTTATGTCCCCTTAGAATTCATGAATCGATTTTGTTACGTAACGCAAAGTCCGGTTTTGGTTTTATATTTATTTTATCCTGCAGGCGAAATCCAGAAATTTAAGGGTCATATCGTGTTCAATTTTGTAAATAAAAAAATATTTTCTTATAATAACGGGTCAAATTACAAAATTATGTATTATGAAAGCAAGGAACGGAACCATGTATCCTTTGAAAGCATTCGGCACACGACGATCACGAGCGCGTGCATTCACTCGCTCGGACGAATATTCGACCTCCTGTGAGTGGATGTGAGGGGCGAGTACGTTACCTATTCGGTTAATAGTATACGCGCAGTGTGTGGGGCGGCGAGATATTTTGGTCGAGTCAAAGGGAAAGTCGTGTCACATAATCGAATAACAGAAAAATTGAATTAAAAATTAGATAAAAAAATAAATAATTATAATTTTTTAATTCTAAAAATAGAAATTAAATCCGAACTGAATAAAAATTGAAAAGAGAGTAATTTTTTTTTTAAATTAATATTTATTACTATATCTTAATTCAAATAGAATATAATTAAATTGTATCAAATTCAATACAAAAATCACCGAAATAAGGGAACCCATAGATAACCAAATACGAACTGAAACCGAAGCCACCCATATAAAGCGTCTAACGTGTCAAGATCTTATCCACCCAAAGATAAGAAGCCTCTCGTTGTCTTGTCTCCTCCCCAAAATATCTTAATCATTTTTTCATTTTCTGTGGCCCTACATATGCCACGTGTCCCTATAATAATCTTTAACCTTCACACGCATCTTATGTCACAAGTTAATTCAACGGGGTAAAAATATGAAACCGATTTGTGATATCATATATATATATATATATATATATATATGTTTTGGGGGTCATCTTTACAAATAAATTTTGCATAGTAGACGAGCAAAAGCTTAATATAATTACAATTGTTTAGTTATTTACAATTGAGATGAGTTTTTGTAAAGACAATAGAATACGAATAACGTTGATTTATGATACGAGGCCTATAATTTTGATGAATTAAAATAATAGTGGAAATAAAGATCCAACTTTAAACATGCACCACCAAATGACCAAACCAACGCACCAAACCAAATAAAATTTTTAAAATAAAAGTCAAATTGTATCATTAGGCCTGACGTGGCAATGTGGGCCACCTTTCAGACTCTTCTAGATATTTTGCAGCCTTCTGACGTTTCTGAACCGTAGGATCGGGATCGGTTGTCAGCGTGTTTTGCTTCTCAGCCGTTGGATCAGATTACCAGATATTCAGATATTTTTATTTTTGCCCGCGGTGGATAAGAATAAGATACGCGAGAGATTTTTTTGGCAAACATTTCTACTCCGACTTTTGCGTTTCTTTTCCCTCCAGAGGCTTCGTTTTTGCGAGACGACTGTTGGGAGATGGGAGAAGTGGTCGTGAGCAGCGAAGAAGTGGTTGAGGTTGCGAAGGCGACGGCGGAGGGCGGCGGAGAGATGTTGCAGCGGCGGCGGAGGCGGAGGATGGACGCCGGAGAAGGCGGCGATGGAAAGGGTCTTGTTAAGTGGGAGAGGTTCCTGCCGAAAATCGCCTTGAGGGTTCTTCTCGTTGAAGCCGACGATTCGACCAGACAGATAGTCGGAGCCCTTCTCAGGAAATGCGGTTACAGAGGTCAGTTTTGCTGTCTCTGTTTCTATGTTGTCGTCGCTGTTAGAATCGGAGTTTCCTTGGTTGGTTTCGTTTCAAAACCGATATTTTTTGGTTCTTTGTTGTTTTTGGGTTTGCCTTTCGAATCCTCGATCTGGGATCGGTCTATGAACTTGTAAAGCGAAGAACTTAGGAATGTTCGGCTAACTTTAGTAATAGAGAGAATTCGAGTCAGTTTTCTTATCTGTTCGAATCTGAATAAAGATTTCAAAAGTGACTGTTTTCGAAGCAAATGGAGGACGCTGGGGGTTATTTCAGCTTATTTAGTTGGTGGACGCTAACAAGTTTGATCTATGTTAGTTGTTTGTATGATGTCCCGTTGGACAATGAATTTGCTGCAAATGGCTGATTGCCCTTAGCAGTTGCTTGAGATTTGTGTCGACCATGAGTTTGATGAAATGCCCATTATGTTAAGTTTCGTGTCATTGGCCTCGCTACAAGGTCGGAACTTTCACACCGGCAACTGTCTTGTTTTCAGAACCCTTCAGCTGTAGTTTCTGAAATCATCTGCCTACCTATAATCTCTTTTGTGTTTTGTTTCATTGTCTGCCTTCTGACATTGCCATTCCATTCTGAGCTTATGGAGTTATAACGATCTGTCTCCTCAGTTGTTGCTGTTGCCGACGGCCTCAAGGCATGGGAGATACTAAAAGGGAGGCCTGAAAGTGTAGATCTGATATTGACTGAGATTGATCTGCCTTCGATTTCTGGATACGCATTTCTAACGCTCATCATGGAGCACGAGATATGCAAGAACGTTCCTGTCATAAGTAGGGATTTATTCTACACACAAGCTTCTGTTTCTTGTTGCTCGTGAAATAATTTATTTGATTAACATATCCTTCGTTCTTGGATTGGGTTTCTGCAGTGATGTCGACACAGGACTCAGTCAGTACTGTGTATAAGTGCATGTTGAAAGGTGCAGCCGATTATCTTGTTAAACCGTTGAGGAGGAATGAGCTGAGAAATCTCTGGCGACATGTATGGAGGAGACAATGTGTATGCCCACTGTCCAATCTTGTATTCTTTGTACTGTCTGAGTATGGGAATCGTTGAAAACTTGGGCATTTTTCCACTCGAATCTCAGTTTAATACTTCTTTTCTTTATCGGTCAAAGATCTGTTCTTGATTCTTGTTGATAGGGATTTGCTGCTGGGGACTTTTCAATAGATGAGAGGATTGGACAGCAGAAGCTTGAGGCCACGTCTGAGAACAATTCCACGAGTAACCGTGGAAACACCGCTGAGAGGCCGGTGATTGATAAAGGAAATGATGCTCATGTTAGTCTCTGAATACCCTTATTTTTGCTCTGCAATCTGCATCTTATTCTCAAAACAATCTCCCGCAAATTTAAAGAAAGTTTGCTCCTTTGAAGGAAGGTGTTGTTCTCCATGGTTACTCAGGGGATTGTTCTCAACCTTCGGTTTTCTCTTGCAGAGCTCGTGTACGAGTCCTGAACTGGACGGCGATAGTGCATATGTGGATAATAATAATAACCCGAGAGGCTCGTTGCAGGCTAAGTGTGGGAAGTCTCTGTTCAACGATATGGAAGTTGTGGAGAACGAGACAAGGAGTAAGCTCATGTTCTGCTGCAAGCTTCTAAAGTTTGAATTTGTGACGGATTTCCCGTCAAATCCACCACTAAAGTTGTTGTGATTTTTTTAGGAACTCAGAGTGTCGCGGAGCTCAGAGAGGCATGTCAAGAAGCCATAGACTTCATGGGAGCATCGTTTAGAAGAAATGAAGAATGCGATAGAGAAGAAAGTACATCCACAGCCATTTACGGGTCTCTGCTAGAGCTCGATCTCTCCTTGAGAAGATCTAACACCTCTTGTCTCTGGCCATCCAGTGCTTCGGCTTTCACACGGTTAGTCATCTCATACGAATTCCTTGCTGCTCAATAGTACAGGTCTTTGGCATTGTTTTTGATGGTTTTCTTGTTTTGCAGGTACGTTCACAGGCCATTACAGACACAGTGTTCAATCTCTTCCGGGGTTTCGGATCAAAGATTATTATGTGTGGAGGCAAATCAGGACGATAAGATTTCGTCTGACGCTGGGACTTCAGACCGTTCCGATTCATCGGGACCACCTCCAAGCGCTTACAACAGGGTGTATGCCTCTGGACCTCCGTGGAGCTCTTACCCAGCTCCCATTCCCGTAAAGGGTATACGTTTCAGCTGTCAAAACTCGGGTTGCACATCTGCCGTGGCACCCGTTCAGTCAACGACGAGCCCTACTTCCCGGCCGAGCTTGAACAGTGGTATACCAGCAGGATGTTCACAAGAGTGTACCACATCGCCAAACTCGTTGACGTCACCCGACGTGAAAACTCGACAACGGGAAGAGGCTCTTACTAAATTCCGGATGAAACGCAAAGAAAGGTGTTTCGAGAAAAAGGTACAAACTTTGATCTTCACATTCTTATGCTTCTGAGAAAAAGAACAACTGGACTAACGTAACTTAACACAGGTGAGGTATGAGAGCCGAAAGAAGCTGGCAGAGCAGCGGCCGCGAGTGAAGGGGCAATTCGTTCGTCATGCCCAAGTTCCTGATCCTCCAACTGAATCAGCAGTTGTCCCGTGTTCTAGGGTTTAGGAATATCGAAAGCTCAATACTAGCTCTCGAACAAGCCCAGGCAAAGAATATGCTATGTAAACTGAACAAGCACACTACTTTTGGAATCAGCACAATTTTATTTTCCAAATGAATTGAAATATATTTAAAACAACGGAAATCAATATTAAATTAAACTAACAAAAAAAAAACAGGAATTTCTCAAAAATTAAAACATTACAAGTAAAAGGCAAAAATAGCTAAACCATGCCCAATTTGTTGCATCGGATCTCTCAGCCTTGTGTCAAACAGAGTACCTGTATCTATGATATCTCAAACCTCTCCGACGGTCAGAAACTTCCCGGAGATTGCAGCCGGAGGAAGATTTATTCACCGGACTGAAATCATCTCTACATTAAACAAGTCTACCAAATAAATGACAGAACAGAATCACCAAACTGACTTCATGTTCCGATTTTGTCTTATAGCCGACGGCCATAGTTACGGAAGTAGAATAATATACAAAGGTAACAGAGTAATAGCAGTACCTGGGTTTCTACTCAGGTCGCAAGACAGATTTTCCTCACTCATCATCATCATCATCATCATCTATGTTAATGTCATCATCGGAACACACGCCATCAGATTCTTGCTCATATATCTCATATTCTCCATCACTCCCATCATCAACACCGTAGTTTTGTACGAAACCCGGGTCTACAGTTGGGAAACTATCAAACAGCCCTTGCAGATATGTTCTTGAGTTGTTCTCCATATCAAGATCTTATCATCATATAGGAAAACGTGAAGAAACAGTAGAACTCTTGTGTAAAAAAAAAAACCTGGAACTAAGAAAAGCTTACAAGTTAACAGCAGTCAAGAAAACCAGTATTTATCCAGATTTGTTATTTATGAAGCCAGTTCTGGGTTGTGTTGCAGTGTTTTGAAGGACACATCCATATCTAAATTTGATCCTGACCCCTAAACTGAGAAAACCTTCCCAGTTTTTGTTCTAAATCTGGGCCTAAACCTCGGCAATCTTGAATAGCATCATAGGTTTATTCCTAGACTTGGTCTAGAACCCAAAAACTTAAAAGAAAAGCCTTTCAGTTAGCTCTTAACCTCGTCCTAAACCCTGAAACTTGAAAAAAGCTTCTAAATTTTGGAGTAATCAATCGAGAAAACATCCGTGTGTGTTCTTACAGACAATAGTAGAAGGATACATCCATGCGAGTCAAGCGAAATCTCATCATCATCTGCAGCCTGCAAAAGAAGGAAATAGAGGAACAAAGAGATGATGAAACTGAACTATGTTCTGCTGATAGCTCTTTTAAAGAAGAGGACACTGTCCTCCTGGGACTGATGACGTTCCTGTTCTAGTCTTTTTCTTTTTTTTTCCAGTAACCATAGATATTTTAATAATTATTATTTGAATTTCTCTTTAAATGCAAAAGAAACAAGAAAATGTATGCTCATCACAGTTACCAGATCGAGCTCCTCAGGTTCATCTAGGTCTTCATCATCTTCTTCCACGTTAATATCATCTCCTTTCTCATCCATTGAGCTTTTAGACTTTTCGTTATCATCATCATCTGCAGATTGTTTCCTGTCACAGTCTGTTGCTTCCATATTTTCAAAGAGAACACCAAAATAACAATGACAATAAGCATAACACTTGGTGGTATGCCTTTGGCACATATACAGAAAAAGCCATATTTCATCCCAACTCTTTTGGTTAATTTCACCACTTTCGATTTTATTTTGAGGCCACCATTGTGGACACCCCTACACTATGACCAGTTCCTTTTTACAATGCTTTAACCATTGACTAAGGCCATTAGTTGCAACATTGAATCTGAAGACAGATACGAAAGCTAGGATGTGTGCATCACCAGTGATATTTGGATGGTTAAACCGTTCAAAGGAGGTGGAGACTCAGTTTTATATACAATCTAACCTTTAGTTGTTTCCCGGTGCTTCTCTTGACATGGTTTCATTGCATCTTTGTGGGTGCGTATCATCTTAGATCTTTCAAACTCTTCTTGAATAGATTTAAACACATCCTCGAAACCAGGTTCAGGAAACACAGACACAAACCTCACAGACACATGGAGTCTCAGAGTCTCGAGTGTGGCTTCGGAGAACCATCCTGTTTTATACTGCAAAACCAAACCAGATTGTAGATCAGATTTCACAGGGAAGCCTGTTCAAGTTGATGAGTTTAAGAACTTGCTAGAGTTTTTATGTCTGTTCTACACAAAAATATGGTTTCATCTGCGATACGTGGACTGTAATTAACGCGTTTGTGTCACCATTAAAGAATATATGTAATTTTTCTAAAACAAAGGAGCAAAATGTTCACCTTTACACCTATTAGCCAAAAGCTAAAAAATTATGGCTTTCACCCGTTTCATTTGAAAATGATAAAAGTATTTAAACATTTAGAAGTAACTTGCACAAACATAAGTCAATAATCGCACATTTAATAATAAAAGCTAAGTATAAAACTCACGCTACAAGTAGTCTGTTTCGGAGGTTGTCTTATCTCTTGCTGAACGTACTCATCTTCCAGTTCAAACAACTGCAAAAATGTTTGGCACTTGAAAGGAAAGACTTTAAAAGCGCAAATGTCATCCCATTTCGGCTTTAATCTGTAACAAAGAGAGAAAATGGATAAACATAACCCTATAATCCCAAGCTTTCTCCAACATACATGTGATGATCGCACCACAAACTTTTTCCCAGAACCCATGTCAAATCAATCACATAATCCAACAACTATAATAAACTTCTCAAGAGTTTTTTGTGCCGAGATCGGATGGAAAACTGCTGAAAATCATAAAATTCATTGGAGTTAAACTAGAGCAACACCAACGTATAAACTTAACATTAAATTTGAAATGAAAAGTTACAAGATCTCGTATACAAATGTAAATTTGATGATCTTCGACAAATTTTGAACATAAGCATCGTTCTTTTAGAGCTTCTAATTTATCATTCAATTGATTCGCTACAATCTTAAAGCTAGGACAGAGAAAGCAGAATATAAAAATTTACGGGATGAGGGTAAAACTCACTTGTTAGTTGCATTAGCGTCGCAATAACCCCGTAACTCAGGTGGAACCCTGAATTCCATTCTCTGATATCTGAAAAATAAATTACCCAGATGAAACCTTTTGACGTGCTACTGGACTGGATGCAGAAAAAAGTGAGAAATGAAAAAAAAAATTGTATCTCGAAAGCCAAACTTTATCACCATTCACACACTCCAGTTTGCCATTTGCATTAGAAAATGATATAAACTTTTTTAAAAAAATAACAAATGCAAAACCACGCGTGTTTGCATATGTCCCATGCAATCGCACACTGTAATTCATACACTAAGAAAATGAATAAGATTGTTAAGATTGAACTCACATCCGAGACTCAGGATCTATCCGTGGATCATAGCCTCTTTTAATCCAGAATCTAAGAAATGGACCGCCTGAGAAATAATATGCAGCCCTAAGCAAAAATCTGTAAAGAAAATATAGAAATAAATTCATCCTTGACATTATTCTGTTTCAAGAAAACCCTCTCATGTATAAGAAAACAATATTAGTGGTTCTTTTACCTGTTCAACATATGATGTGTGCATTTAAAACCTTTATCAAGTAGCCGTTGAACCACAGACTCTCTAGGCCATATGGGCCGCTCATCAAACAGTGCAGACACTGCTTCCTGCCATTGCCATTGGTTGGAGCCACGGACAATAAAGTCTTCCCAGTTTAATATCTTCGGTATCTGTATGAATGCTAAGGAAACACCAAAAAACAAACCGAAGAAGTGGAGGTTTCAAACAAACATGACTGTGACACTTGCAGAGGTCAAAAGAAAAAAAAAGCTCTAGAAGATTGGGAAAACAGTGTGAAAGAAAAAGGATATCTTTGACACCGAAATCGATTGCAAATATCGGGCCCGTATCAATCTGCATTAGAAAAGAAAATCATTTGAACAAAACAATTAGCACATGGAGATGGAGAAATCACAACTAAAAGATAAGTAACCTGTCACGACATTTTCGACATATAAAAGAACTCGAAAAAACTGTGAATTCTTGATGGTTCACTAGTGCAAGTAAGACAGTTATTATTTATTGAATATAGAATGTCGTATGAGTAGGCAAAACACAAAAGAATAGATTGTTTGGAGCCAAAGTCAAGTGTTTACTGACCAAAAGAATCTACAGGAAAGAGTCCATATGACAGAAAATCATCATGCCAACAAAGGAATACGAACCTCAAAACTCGTTACACACTAAATTTTGCTTACCAGCAATTATACTCCAAGATCCATCCTGCCTAAACTTCATGGAATTCAACTCCCCAAGCACCCAAATTCAAATTCCATCGAGAAAGAATCAAAACTTAATCACTAAACTAAACCACAAAACATTCACCCAGCCACTGGTTACTTCTAACAAAACATTGAGTATCTTAGTGATAAAAGAATATGCTTTACAGACACTTTTCTCTCAAATTTCAATTTTAAGTTTAACCACATCAGCTGAAAAGACTGATTTTGGTCCTGTTTTCTTATTTTACCTCGGAAGAGTTCTGAGCTGCCACCTCCTCTTTCTTTTTGGAACCAGATGAGGCTGGTAGTCGTAGCCTGCAAATCACACAGTCAATCAATCAGGGGAAACTGGAAATGACACTATAGTTGAAAGCTGCTTGATTGAACTTATCATATTTATTCCTAACTCGGAATTGGAGAGCACAAACAGCTTCAAGCGGGTAAACTATGTTACCGAAGAAGAAATAAGTGAACACTAAAAATAAATAAGAGAGCACAATCGTACACCAAGTTTTCTGGTATATCTTTGGGTGCGAAAAAAGGTGGCAATAACATCATCACGTCTTCGTCTGCCAGATCCATGAGATCACTGTTTGCTGCATGGTATAAGAGGAAGGACTTGCTCATATTATACGACGTCACAAAAGAATTTGCACAACAATGTAAAATATCAAATGACTGAGGATGATTTGCCTGCAAGTGACTCCATCTCCATCCACTTTCTCTTCTTCTTCTGCGCAATATCGGCATGAATCGGAATAACGTGCTGATAGTCGGCCATGCCTTGGCAAAATCCACGCAAATAGAAATGATAAGTTTGCAAAAAATATATGCAACACAATGTAACATATTGAGCGAGATCTCAAAATAATATGGAAGACAACGTCAGATACACAAGAGTCCAACTACGATAGGAATGCAGGAGAGCTAGTTTCTTACCATCAAAATGATAAGAACCAGAGACACGGGAAACGATATCACAGCACAGGGCTGGGCGATCTTCTGATAAGCATGGTTCGACTCCAGTAGTGGCAAGAACTGTTTGACTTTCAGGCCGAGAATCTTGAGTGAGCTCCTTCTTAGAGATTCTTAACAAAAAACTGTTAGAAGAACATTGTTCTCCCAAGGCGGGATGTGCATAAGGGTCTTCAGGGCGGAAGCGCAGCTCGAGCTTGTTTGAGGCAGATCCCCTTGCCTGCAAGAAACTTAAAGGAATAAAATTTGAAAAACTTCAGCAAAACTTAGCTACCAACAACAACTCATTCATGTATTGTACCGGGAATTTTGTTTTTCATTCTTTTCCATGGGATGTGAAGAAAAATAACTGTAACAGCAAGTTTTTGTGAAAAAGAGAAGCAGTGTTACTAAATAAAGATTAAAGTGAGATGTTTAGACAATAGCCACTATGAAAGGCCTAAGGGTGCCGCCATCACGCACATACGCATAGCAAGAACTTATTATCATATAAATTATGCATTCATTGTAAAGACTAACACAAAAAGCACAGGCAATTTGGCCAAAAGGGTCTTAGGCAAAAACAGATTTTACCATTTTAATCCCTTCAATTCCTCCAAGAGTATCAACGGCTCGTGAAATCGATGAGGGGTACCCTGGATAGTGCACTACAAAAGCCTCTGTGCTCGGCAAAGTACCCGAGATCGTCCCGTTTTCTATGACTCCCATTGTTTCTTCCCTTGATCACCTAGTTGTAATGCAAGAAATACAGAGATAAATGAAATGTCTAATTTGAAAAGTGTGTTAGAGGTTAGTTTCTCTAGCTTTTTTCTCTTAAAAGAAGCACATATACAATTTCCTAGAGCTAATCTCGGCAGCTATTGGATGTTACGGTCTAAGGAAGATGAAACACCAGCAGGCACGAGACAAACCAACAAAATCGGAAGCGCAAAGAGAAGAAAAAAATTGTTTGGAAACTCCTATGGTTCGGGTATCCGAACCCGTGTCCATTCTGGGACCCCCAGAAATTTTTGGATGGTCGGACCCTCAGAAGCACACATCCATAAACATTCATTTCCATAAACAATTTGAGAAAAACACTAAAATCAAATACAACTACAAGTTCTAAAACAAGGTCCCAAATGCCGAAGAACAAATCTGAAGGTAATCATTCAAAAATATGAAGTTTTGGGACTTCTGCTATAGCTCACTTACAGTTCGCTAAGAGTTTTAAGACTTGTCAGATTATTAACACTTAGTGAATTCCTATTGAGGCGCTTGTAGGAAAGAAGAACAAGAGCCTAGAGATATAAAGGCAGAATAGAAGTTGGATATCTTCCAAATTCTTCACAAAATAAGCAGTGAGTCAGTGACATAACCCTATGCAAAAGCCATTTTGAGATTTCGTTCAAAAGACTCGACCATTTCAATGTTTCAGAACCAACAAAAACTACTAGTTTATGACATAAATGAGAACTAAAAGTGCTGAAACATGCCTGAATCTATCGAATTAGACCACAACTCTATTTGCATCAGACAAAACTATAGCACTAGAAGCTGTAATTGAAAGTTTGAAATGAAAAGCCAAATTTGGATCCCAGTTTTCTGAACGGACAAATAAAAGTGAAATGCGGATCAGAAAAGTTCAAACCTCATCCTAAAGCATCAGATTCCCAGGACCATATAATCTAATTCACTAGAGTTTCACGTAACAGATCAACCATTCTTGTCCAGTTCATACACATGCATGCGCAATTGAAAACTGAGCCTCCCTAATATCCATATCCATAGGAATAGCAGGAAACAAGCCGTAGGCGAGCCCTATGTCAAGAATCATGTTCAAATAATAATATTAAACAACCCAACATCCAGACTTTCGGAGACTGCTAGCAATCTAGAAGTTCTAGTTCTAATCCAACAAACAACAGGCCTACGAAACCAAGAATCTAGGAGCTCATGTTCGAATTCAAACCAGTCAAAGCATAGAATCAGAACAAATGGGGAAAAAGATCAAGCGCAAGCTCTGGCATTGATGGAATAAAGACAAAGAAACATATACGAATCAACGCACTGATCCAAAAACAGGCTTGTTAGTGATTCGAACGAGAAGAAGCATTATGCCCAAGCATCCTCGGACGCCGAAACCCTAAACTCTAGTCCGAACCGTTTGAACCAGAATCGAACACTGAACCTAAAATCGAAAGATTGTTCTTTACTAATTAGAAAGTTTTTTATTGACGAGCAAGAAAATCGATCGAAGCTAACCTTAAACCGTGCGGGAAACAGAGGGGTGCGGTGTGAGAGAAAGGTAACTCGATCGGGTACGACGGAGGGAGAGAGAAAAGACTCGATCAGAGTCTCGAGGACGACGGAGACTCTGCAGGAGACTCGACGGCGGGCGGCGAGGGAGAGGAGAGGCTCGATCGGGTTCGGCGGGAGGGAGAGTCGATCGACGATCAAGTGACTGGCTGAGAGAGACGCGGACACGGGCCGCGTGTGCGTGTTTGACCTCTATGGTTTAAAACGCTAGTGCTATTTTTGTAATATAAAGATAAACTAGGGGCAGTTTCATCTTTTCACATGAGAAACATTGATGCTCGATCCGAATCCGTCTAATGAAAAAAAAATAATATTAACGACAGCGACTAAAAAAAAAAGGTATCCCTCCAACACCTTATGCTTGGCGTCATAGAAGGTGATTTAGCCGTTTGGAGATGTTTTGATGGACTTTAATTAGTTAGAAGACTAAACTCAAATCATGTTATTTCTATTTAAACATTTGATTTAAACTCAAATCTAAACGATAGTGTGGAAAAATGTTTTTCCTTGTATTCAAAAATATGCTTTACATGAGTGATATATATACATATGAGAGGAGATGATTATGATAACAATATAGCAGATATTGAGGAGAGAATTGATACAAAATAGTAACGACAAGATATTCTCTTGACTCCTTCCTTTACGCCCTCGCAAGATGAGGCTCGTGTGCGAGACCAATCTTGACTTGTAGTAGATCAAACCGAGCTCGTGGTAGTGGCTTCGTAAGAGCATCCGCTAGCTGACCGAGAGAAGAGACGTGAGAGACTCGGAGATGGCCATCTCGAACTAGTCCTCGAATGAAGTGATAGTCGATGGCGACGTACTTCATGCGAGAATGGAAGATTGGATTAGTACACAAGTACGTTGCACCAACATTATCACAATAGATAACCGACGGTGATGTATGTACAATGCCAAGCTCCGAGAAGATAGATAGTAGCCTACGAAGTTCAGATGCAGTAGAGGCAATAGATTTGTACTCGGATTCAGTGGAAGATCGGACCGTTGTTCGTTGTTTCTTCGAAGATCAAGAGATAGGATGGCTGCCAAAATACACAATGTGAACACTCGTGGAAGTGAAATCATCACGATTACCTCTCCAATCGGCATCTGAGAAGGCATGAAGATCAATGGAATTCCGAGAGGACATGAAGATGCCGAGAGATGATGATCCAACGAGATAGCAAAAACACGTTTGACCCCTTGCCAATGATTTGTTGTTGACTTATGCATGAATTGTGAGAGCTTGTTGACTGCAAAGGCGATGTCGGGACGTGTGAAATGAAGGTATTGCAAGCTTCCAACCACGTTGCGATATTCCGAGGGATCATCGAGCGGAGTGCCTGACGTCAACATGAGAGATGTCGTAGATGACATCGGTGTAGAGACGGGCTTTGCATTGAGCATGTTTGTCCTCTTGAGAAGGTCGAGAATGTACCGACGTTGGGTGAGATAGATGCCGGTGGAAGAGTATGTTACCTCGACGCCGAGAAAGAACGAGAGACGACCGAGAGCTTTGAGAGAGAATCGGGAGGAGAGCGTTGTGATGATGGATTGGCAGCGGGCTGCATTGCTTCCAGTGATGACAACATCATCAACATAGACGAGAAGATAGGTGGTGGCATCGGCTTCTCGAAGAATGAACAACGATGTGTCGGCAAAAGAGTTGTGAAAGCCTATACCAACAAGGAAGTCTCGAAGCTCTGTGTACCAAGCTCTCGGAGCTTGTTTAAGCCCATAAAGAGCTTTGTGTAGCTTACATACATGAGATGGCCGATCACGATCTATAAAGCCGGGAGGTTGAGTCATGTAGACATCGTCCATGAGTCGGCCTTGCAGAAAGGCGTTGTTTATATCTAGTTGCCGAAGAGACCAACCAGAGTCACTGCAATGCTAAGAATGAGTCGAACCGTTGTCGACTTAACCACCGGGCTAAAAGTGTCGTGATAGTCGATCCCAGAGCGTTGGTGGAAGCCCTTTGCAACAAGTCGAGCCTTGCACCTGTCAAAAGAACCATCAACATGTCGCTTAGTCCGGAAAACCCATTTGCATCCGACAATATTGTATGAGACATTCATCGGAACCAAATCCCAAGTCCCGTTTTTCACGAGGGCATCGAATTCTTCCGTCATGGCCTGTCTCCATTGTGGTGATTTGAGAGCTTGGGAAACACACGTGGGTTCGGATTCTATAGATGGTCTCGAGGCTAAAGTGTTTACAAATTTGGTGTTGGGTTTTGTGATGTGATTCTTTGATCTTGTTGTCATCAGATGAAGGTTTCTTGGTGGGCAAGCAAGGTGTTGGGCTTCAAATGTGGATGTAGTTTCGGTGGGTTGAGGTGTAGGGCTGGGTTGTTGCGTATCTGTGATGGAGTGGGTGGCGTTTGGTGTGTCATGAGAGGTCGGTGATGTATGTGTTACGGAGGGGGGGTCGGGTGGTTGTGTCGGTGTTGAGGTGGCCGAGGTTGATCGCAGCGAAGTTTCCGACGATGAGGGCACAACAACAGGAGACGACGTGACAAGTTAGTGACTTGGGACAAGAGTGTGAGACAGTGACATCGACTGTGACGCCTCACCCGACGGGGATGTGCCGGGAGATGATGCCGATAATGATGCAAAAGGAAAGGTTGATTCAACAAAGGTCACATGACGGGAAGAATAGACACGCGAGGTTTGGGGTTGAAGACACAAAAAACATTTTGAATTAAAGAGTAACCCGCAAAAACACACGGTGACGAGCGAGGTTCGAGTTTGTGATGAGAGTATGGGCGAAGCCAAGGAAAGCAAAGACAACCGAAATTTCGGAGTTTGTTATAGTTGGGTAATGAGGCAAACAAAGATTGAAATGGCGAGTTGTAGGCTAAAACTTTGGTTGGGAGACGGTTTATAAGGTATACGGTTGTCAGAAACGCAAACGTCCAATAGGACAAAGGCATTGATGCATGAGTAAGGAGTGTTAATCCCGTCTCCATGATGTGCCGGTGTTTGCGTTCCGATATTCCGTTATGCTCGGGTGTATGTGGAGGAGTGGTGAGATGTGTGATTTCATGCGTTGAGAGAAAGGATCGGATGGCGATGTATTCGCCTCCGTTGTCCGAGTAAAGGGTTTGAATTCGATGGTTAAAATGGTTCTCAACAAGAGACTTAAAACGGGGAAAAATGTCGAGAACTTGAGATTTTCGTTGTAATGGGTAAAACCATGTATAGCGAGTGAAATGATCAACGAAAATCATGTAATATTTGAAACCATCGAAAGAGGCAATGGGAGAGGTCCACACATCTGAAAATACAATTTCTAAAGGTCGAGATGATGAAATGGAAGACACGGAGAAAGGAAGTTTGTGAGTTTTATTCATAGAACACGGGGTGCATGACAAATGCATGCTTTTATTGGATGACAAAGGTAACGAAAAACGTTGAATGACCTTATTAAGAATATCAAAAGAGGGATGGTCTAGCCTAGAGTGCCAATCCGAAAACGTGGTCTCAAAAGTGGAAAAAGCTGAAATGTTTGAGGGAGAGACATGGGAAGAGACCGAGGGCTACTCATATACGCCGTTATTAAGGTTTCCCGCAGTTAGCCGCGCCCCCGTTGCGAGATCCTTCACCTGAAAGGTTGTGGAAAAGAATTCAACGGAAACGCGGTTAGTAGTGCATAGTTGGTGTACGAAAATGAGATTTTTACGTAAGGATGGAACACATAGGATATTGGTAAGGGAAAGGTCGACAGTTATTGAACCCGTGTGCGTTATCGGATGAGTGGATCCGTCACCAAGCTCAACTTCATAACCACCGGAGTAGGGCACATGAAGGGAGAGATGGTGTAGTTCCGAAGTGATATGATGCGATGCGCCGGAATTGAGAAGCCATGTGGGTGAAGAGACGACATTCGGGAGACTCGTGTGATGAGCATGATGTTGCCATGATGTCGGATTGGTGGTTGAACTGGAGAGAGGAGAGCCGAGAAGGCCACCTGAAGAGCGTAGCAAGTGACAACGTTTGGCACTGTGGCCTTGAGTGCCGCATAATTGGCACTTTCCTTGGTAGTCGTGTGTTGGCTTACGGTTTGTGAGTCCGACAGAGGACGAGCAGAGTGCTGCCATGGAGCGCGAGGGGAGTTGACATGAGACCGTGTCTGAGTGTTGTGGGTGGAGATCGGCATGACGGAGGGCAATGGCTCAGACGCGAGAAGGACAGACTCATGATTCAAGAGCCTTTCATGCAGTTCAACAAACGAGATAGGCAAGTCGCATGCGTTGATGGCGTCCTTGACGGGGCGATACTCTTCTCCAAGACCGGCAAGAACAAGGTCGACTAGATCCTCGTGATCTAGAGGCTTGCCAAGTACGGCAAGTTCATCTCCCTTTGTCTTGAAAAAGTGCATATCCTCATCAATGGTTTTGCCGCCTTTGGAGAATCGTTTCATATGATCCTTGATCTGTTTTATGTGACCTCTGCTAGATCTCCCGTAGGTTGAAGCAAGTGTGGTCCATGCTTCGCTAGTTGTGGTTGCTCTTGCAATGAGGGCTTGAAAGGGGACCGAGATGGAGCCGAGTAGAGCAGAGAAAATAAGACGATCCTGGCGAAACCAGGATGCGTACGCAGGGTTGGTTTTCACCACGCCGTTCTCGGTGATTGTCGGAGCAACACTAGTGTCCGCGTCGAGGAAGGATTCAAGGTTGTATCCTTGAAGAAGCGATCGTACTTGGAAACTCCACGTGAGATAATTTGTAGCGGATAGTTTCGACCCGGAGTGCTGATACCATAAACGATAGTGTGGAAAAATGTTTTTCCTTGTATTCAAAAATATGTTTTACATGAGTGATATATACACATATGAGTTGAGATGATTATGATAACAATATAACAGATATTGAGGAGAGAATTGATACAAAATAGTAACGGCAACATATTCTATTGACTCCTTCCTTTAAAATCTTGTCATATTTATTATATCTGGTATAAATCAGATTATAATAAAAAACGGATCTATTTGGATGAGATGTTATATATAATTAATTAAAAAATTTTAATTTTTTACGAAATTTATAAAATTTTAAATAAAATTGTTAAATATTTCCATGCTAAAATTAAATTTACTTCTATTGATGGTGATGGTCTGATCAAGATGAAAGAAACATTCTTCTCGACTTGGTTATATCAGTATGTAAGTATT